CTTAATCATGACTTTGTTTCTGCAGAGGCAGCTTTTGCCATTCTTATTCATACAGTCTGGTTTACTCTGTGGACAGCCCTCCTGATTTTTGTGAAGCTATGCAGAGGAAAAAGTATCAGATGGCATAACTCAGGGTGGCAGAAGACATCTAGTTATTACACATACAGGAGCTCCCTGAGGTAGACAAGAGCACTACTTATATGTATCACAGATTTTGTCATCAATGTGACAAAAAGGGTTAAAACATAAAATCTGGAATTAAATAGTTTTACTTTCATAAAATATTTTTGAATTTTTTTTGGAACTCTATTTCCCAGAGTTTCTGTGTTTTGGGGTTTATGATATTTCAGGGTTTTAAAAGTCACATGAAATAGAATTGTAGGTGCAATATAACTTTATACATAAATTTCTTGAAACTGCAATTTATTTCCTTTAAAATTTTCAAATTTGTAATCAGCAGTACTGAATATTTTCCATTCTAGGTATCAGCAAAACCTGCATATATTTCTAAATGAGAAGGAAATATTGCTGCATTTTTTTGCCACAATGAACTATTCTAGAGAACAGATTCTGAAAAAGCACTGATTTCTCAGGGCTTTGAAGCAAGACATTGGGATTTCTTGGGGAAGGGTAATAACGCTGGTATCACATACCTGTTCTGGAGAACATAGGCCTCTCAGGTCAGTTCTCCAGAACAGTCTTTTTATTGTCTTGGCAATGGCATTATTTTTTCTCTTTGTGCTTTCTGTTATTTATCACAATATCTTTTACTTTTCAAACCATAACTGTGACCAGAAACAGACACACAGAATGGAAAGGAACCGTGGGAGGGTTTCAGTGCCCTGGCCCTTTGGAAAAGCTATCCCACTCTTACAAACTTTGATCTATTTCCCCAGCACTGTTCATGCTCTAGAATATACAAGACAGAATCCTATCACAAAAATATCACAGGATTATTATATTAGATGTTATGTCATGCTATGCTATGCTATGTCATGTTATGTCATGTTGTATCATTAGTATTACTTGTATGTAGTAGTATATTACTAATATTATTTCATTTTGGGTTTGTACAATATGCTTCTGAAGTCCCCCCACCATTTTACTTAGCTTCCAGGTGATACAAAGAGTGAACAGGAGAAATCTCAGCACAATCAGATTTTATTTTTTTAAATTGCAATTTGAAAACACTAATCTGGCTGTACTTTTATTCCTGATTATTCTCAAACCTGACAGAACACGACTCATGATCAGCTGTCTGCCTGTGGGTGACTTCCTTGGTTACTCTTCAAATACAGGAAAACACCTGTACTATACTTGAGTGTAGAGTTTTAAAACCAGTGCTAATTGTGTTTTCCTCAGCTATGAGTCATCTGAGGTTTTTCTTGGGTGACGACTCTTGTTGTGAAAGTGGCGCCTTGATAAATGACACAATATTAAAAACAAAACAAAAGCAATCCATGCCACACTTGCGGAAACCTTGGCCTGAAGTTCCAAAGCTTTTCTCAAACTACTGTGTTATTCCAGCCCAGGGGAGAGAAGGTCAGAGACATAAAAAGTGAGGCTTTTCTTTCCAGGTGAAAATCTGTAGCCTGCCTCAGACCAGCATAAGCCTATGTGTGACATGTTCCCCATCTGACACCCTTCAGAGCAGGGATCCTGAATCTCTGACCCCAGCATGCCTGGGATGTCCTAAACAACTTTATGGCTTAGTGGGTCTCAGTCAGAAGTAAAAGTGAGGTGCACTTTCCTGTGTAGCCAGAGCCATGCAGACGACTAAGTCAACTACAGGGAAATCCACAGATTTGTATTGACATTCCCCATGCCAGCATTTCAACTTCCTCTTTAAAACATGAATGAATGAGTGAATGTACTGGAGAGGCCAAAAGGACTTTAGCTCCATCTGTCTTTCCCAGACGGTTATTAACCCACTCTCTCATCTGTGGTCCCAGTCATTTAATTGGAGAACTAAGTGGCCATCACCATGGTGACTGCAGCCATCCTACCTCTACCATTCCCACAGCACTGGGCTGGTCTCCACCTCGTTGGTCTCTACCCCAGACCAGGGTTACAATTCAGAATGAGAGCCAGAAGGACTCGGTAAGGCAACAGAGGTGAGGGAAGAAGGACTGAAACCAGGAGCCAGATTAGGGGTATAGGCCCTGGGCTTGCCACTAGGGACATAAGGAGCAGGAAGGTTAGAAAAGGAGAGGTTCAACATGTGTAAAAAATAAATAAGGAATCAAGAGTTACTTGGAGATGAAATGATGCATTCTTTTTAGGTCTGCCCGTGCTGGCCCCTTTGGAGAGGGAAAAAGGGACAATTATGCTGTTAAAAGAGTGTCTAATAGTCTGTATGCATAAAGGACTCAAAGTACATTATGTTACATGTATGTGTATACATGTGTATACAATGTACACACAAAATAATGTCCACAAAATGAATACAAAATGTGTCCTGTGTCTCCACCAAATTGTGTAGTCTGTATTATATCAATTTTATTGTCTCTGAGGACTCAAAATATATGTAAGTCAGTAAATGCAACAAATGTGTGGCAATAGCAAAGGCTCCTAACACACATGTATACATTCCTTGATTTTCAGAATGCACATGTAGCGGCATACTAAGGGCATTTTCATTCCTTCTGCTTTTTACCCTAAATTTAGAAATTACTGAAGTGAAGTAAAAATAAGAAAAGATATGAGTATATACTTATTTTGTTGTTTTGCTCTGTTAGGAGCTTCTGATGCTGAAATTTTGATGGGATTTTGTGCTCCATGGTCATTCATGCCTAGAGACACGAGAAACTTCAACTTGGTTTTCTGTCATCCTTCCTCAAGGAAGAGTCCTGTAGCTCATTTCTAACATCAATCACTTGGACTATAAATCTCTGCAATGGATATGGCCATTTAAATCTCCACCTGCACAAACAGCAATCAGGCCTAGAAAACAAGGAGGCTCATAAATCTCTGCGCTGGTAATTAGTAATATTTTGGATCTGCAATGAGGATGTTATAAAGACAAAAAGAAACAAAAAAAAAAACACAACAAAACAAAGCTAACCCATTAATTAGGACTGATGATATGCTGACAATCTGTTTACTTTCTACACAGAGAAAACACAAACAGGGCACATTTAACATAACATGACATTAGAAGTGCATGAATTCCCAAGAGCCTAGGCTTAGAGATACGATATCTTAATGTACTTATCCTATTGTGAGTAGGAAGGTGTTATCTTCCAGCCAAATGCTAAATAGTTGGTTTAAAGTTTAGATCTGCCCTTTTTCTTCTGGCTTACATGAGTCAAAGAACCAAGATGGATCAAGAGATAGCTTCCTTGCTAGCTATCAGAAATGACACTCTGCCTTCTACTGAAGCTTTACTCTGCAGACAGCTCACAGTGCTTGTCAGACACACCGGTTTGGGCCTCCATGATTTTTACTTGATTGGGTTTTGTTTAGTGCATGCAGAAAAACTAATGTGATGCTCACACAGATCAGTAAGAGACTGTCCTGTGGCTCCAGTGACCCTGGACTAACTCCAAAGGCCTGCCATGGACAAAAATGTACACCTTGGCTGTACATTTTTGTCCAGGGCTATGTGAATCCTCAGGTAAGCAGCTAAATAAGTGAAGTCAATCCTGCAATCAGATCAGTCACTGTATCCAGAAAGGCCTCATGTGCAAATCATGCCCAGTTCTTTAGTCCCCTGTGTTCAAAGCCCAGGATGCTCGGGGATCTGTGATGTTTCAGGAAACCTGTGAGGAGTGAGGAGCTACAGGAGCAAAGTCATGCTTTAGTGGTCTCTTTAGGCTCCACATGGGGATTTAGGAGAAGATTTTACACAGAGAAGAAGAACCAGGCCAAGCTCAACTGCTTTTAAAAGCCTGCTCTGCAGGGACTGAATATACATCTGCATAAAGATCGTAACTGCAGCATACACCTACTCATTAAGACTATACAGCAACCCATTCCTTGGCACTAGTGGTAAAACGATTGGGAATGTTTGGCTCCAGTGGTTGCACAGTACGGCCTAATGCCCTCATTCCCACCACTCCCACAGAAAGGTCCTTATCTTGCCTCTTGATTCAGCCCAAAGTCCCTGACTTGGAGTCAAGGAACATGCATGAATCACCAGACAAAACACTCCTCAGGTACAGCAGAATGAACCACTGCCATCTGCTCTGCAACAACACACTGAGAAACGGGGATTTTTCTGCATGATCTCTGATATCCAATAACCCTCCCCCTTTTCCTTCATTTCAGCATAATCCCTTGCTGTCCCATTCACTCCCACAGAGATCCTCTCCAGCCACACAGTGTTCTCTCTTGGCTTGGTGGGGCTCCACTGACTGCCAGGATCTCGGCCACCTGGCACACCTGCGGAATGGGCAACATCCAGGATGCTTACATCTGGGAGGACTGAAAGAGTGAGAGGGGTCCGGAACTTGTCGAACATCATCCAGGAAGGCTGGAAGAAGCCAGATCCTCTTGCCTCCAGCCTCTGGGCTGTGACGCCGAGGTCCATGCTGCTGGCCAGCTGGTGGAGCGCTCCCTTCCTGGAATACACTAGTAGCTGGACAGGATGTATTTGCAAATATAATCATCCACAAATCTCCCCCAGATTAGGTTACAGGACAGCGTTTTGACGGCACGCATTACAAAGCTCCCTGGAAGGCTTGGCTGGTGGATCTGCTGCTCTCTCTGCTCATGACCCATTTTGGCTTTTATCAAGAATCATGACACCAGCTGCCTGGGTCATCTAGGAGGCAGGGAGGGGGAGAGCAACCCTGGGCTGGAAAGGGAAGTGGGGAAGGAGAAGAGGAGGAGAAGGCGGAGGAGGAGGAAAGGGGAGGATAGAAAGAGCGGGGGAACACAGTGAGTTGCTTTGCTTTAGTTGTGAAGATCTGAATCCCAGTTCTGAGCTCTCGGCAAAGGCTTGCTGGGATACCTCATCCCCTGTCCTGTGCAAAGGTCTGTGATTGGGAACGTGGTGTGCTCGGCGGGCAGGGCCCCTCCCCTGGGCTGGATCCGCCTCTCATCCCCTAGATAAATTACTAGTGTCCTCACTAAATTCCTCGGCTTTCTCGCTCTCTCTCCCGTTCTCTCACACACGCTCACTCCCTCCCTCCAACACAGGCAAAGCGGGGCTGGGGGGCGGTATCGTGCCTTAGTGCCGGGGGGGGGGGGGCGGGAAGAGGAGAAAAATACTGGCGCCCCTTCTCTCCTCCACCGCCTTGAAGTAGATTTGAGGAGCTGCTCTTCCTCCCCCCACCCCTTCCCCCATCCCGACGGTCCTTTGGCATCTTCCAGACCATGTCCACTGGGTCCCTCAGTGATGTGGAAGATCTGCAGGAGGTGGAGATGCTGGAGTGCAATGGCCTGAAAATGGATACTAACAAAGAGTTTGGGGCGTCCACCGAGAGCAACGAGGAGGGATCCAATGGCGAGAATGGCTCCCCTCAGAAAGGGAGAGGGGCCTCGGGCAAGAGGAAGAAAGCTCCCCCCAAGAAGAGCCCTTTAAATGGAGTGAGCCAAGAGGGAAAGCAGGTCCAGAGAAATGCTGCCAACGCCAGAGAGAGGGCAAGAATGAGGGTCCTTAGCAAAGCCTTCTCCAGGCTTAAGACCACCCTGCCCTGGGTGCCCCCAGACACCAAGCTTTCCAAACTGGACACCTTGAGGTTGGCCTCCAGCTACATTGCTCACCTGAGGCAGATCCTGGCCAATGACAAGTACGAAAACGGCTACATCCACCCAGTCAACCTGGTAAGTCACAGCCCGCCGGGAGCGGGCACTCTCTATGCATGTGTGTGCCTGGGAAGAGGGATGGAGCATGTGCGGAGAGAAACCTTCCCTGGCCTTCTCACAGAAAGTCTGGTGCCAGTGGGGTGGCAAAGGGGTACTGTGCAAGGGGACAGGCTTACAGCTGCCCTCACACCCTGGGCCCTGAGAGTTGAACTGCTAGGGCCGCATCTGCAGCTCCTAGCAATCTGCTCCAGAGGCAAGCAGAGGCCATGCTGGCCACAGCTAAGGCAGGGACAGGCTTTGCTACCCCAGAAATGCCTGAAAAACCTCAGCAAGTTGATGACAGCTTTCTACCTGCAAGTGGGCTGGTGCAGGAATTTGGCTAGAGAAAGGCATGTTTTAGGAAGGAACCAAGCCAAGGACCTACACTTATTCTTACCCCTTCTCTCTACCCTACCATTTCCTCCCGTAACAGTTCTCCCAAGCCCTAGCTTTTTAAAGACTCAGTTTTTGGGGCTGTGCACTCAGCCGCTCAGATTTGCTGGGTCCAAGGATGGTTCTCCTACCATGTAAACTGGTGAAGGAGAAATAAAGACCAAGAAGGGGTGTCTGGCCCAGACTCTGCAAAACCTCCCTGGGCTGTGCAGTGTCCCTCCTGCTGCTCCCACCACCCACAGAGAGTTTTCCCAAACAGCCCAGGGTCTCCCCACCATACCCAGCCAGCAGAAACATCCAGTTTCCAGCTCTAAAAATACAGGTAAATGATTCAAACCAGGAGTGGGCAAGATCTGCCTGGGCTCTTTTTAGGCATAAAACCTTTATATTGCCTGCACATGTGGACCCTGCTAGATAAAGGGATCACAGAGGGACCCTGGGGATATTTCACTGGGGTCCGGCTCTGCCTTTTGAGCTCTGGACTTTAGGGGAAAGTGCATTACCCGCTGTGTCATCTGATAAGGGCCTGAAAGCTTTTTTTTTTTTTTTTTGCTAAAAAAAAAAAAAAATCCTCAGCACACCACCACCGGGAAAAAATAAAGTAAAACAAAAACAACACCCAGTTCAGCTATAACACACACACACATACACCCCTGCACAGAGGCACACCAAAGCAAGCTCCCCGAGGGGCGGGAAGCCAGAGAGGGCGGCCGGGGGATGCATGGCGGCTCCCGCGGGGAACAGCCCCCACACCGGTCACCACCAAGCGCCGGGGACGGCGCGGCAGCCGAGGGGACGCGGACCTGCCGGACGCAGCCGGCGCGGCTCCTTCCGCCCTCCGGCTGCGGATCAGACGTGCTCCGCAGCCCCGAGGATGCCCGCGGTGAGCCCGCCGGGGCCGGGAGACGAAGCGGCAGCACGGCCGGCGAAAGGTAGAAGGGTTCTCGCCGAAGCCTGCGGCGAGTGCCTCGGCCCTAGCCCCGCGGAGCGTTGCCAGATGCGGGCCCAGGCGGTGGATGCTGGGCTCGGTTCCCCGGGGCGCTCCAGGGCTGGACACAGGCGTTGTAATGTGCATTTTTGCGCGTGTAACCCGCTTCCCACCCGTATCTTTTCCTGGCTACAGACTTGGCCTTTTATGGTAGCCGGCAAACCCGAGAGTGACCTGAAAGAAGTGGTGAACACAAACCGCCTGTGCGGCCCGACGGCATCCTGAGCCCCGGCGGCCGGTCCAGAAGAGACCCAGCGCGGCCGCGGAACGGGCGGCGGGGCGGGCGGGGACAGGCCGTGGCCCCACCGCTGCCCCGGGTCCCGCGCAGGACGACGGGGAGCGCCGCTCCCCGGCGCAGAGAAGACCGAAATGTGCAAAGACTCCAACCCGAGATATGCCGACTCTATTTAACTTTATTAAATGCGTGTACAGTCGCGTGCCCTGCACCAACAGCCTTGCTGGTTCAAGCGCTACTAAAGACATAGTTCAAACAAAACCTACCACGCGTGTATCTTTAGTCTGAGACCTGTGAGATACGTGGATGCCTAGAAAAACTGACTTTGACAGTCATCTCTATGGAATAATTCACCCTAAAGATATATAGATATATTTTCTTCAAGCAGGTTCTGCTCTGTTTCTGTGAATAAACCTTCCTTTCCACTGAACACAGAGCAGTGTAATGCTCGTTTCTGACTCTCGTCCTCGGCGGGGAAGGACCGCGCTGCAGGGAGCCCGCCTCTCCGCACCGGGACCCGGCCGGGCTGCTGCCCTGGGGCTAAAGATTTGGAGCAAATCCCTGGGGGAGATGGGCCCGCAGCCCGTCCTCGCCTCGGGAGCCCGACAGTCCCCTCGCCACTCCGCGCCGCTCAGCGGGGACGGGCGCAGCGGATGAAGTACAGTCTGTCCTGGGTGCTGGGAAGTCTTAACTTAAACATCTCCCAGCTATCGATCAGCGCGCCCGTGGGAGATGAGGCCGAGATAAACAGGAGAGCGGGGCGCTCCCCCTGCACCGGCAGCGGCCGCCGGCAGCTGATGCGCCAGATCCCACCGCGCTGTTTAATGTTTCAGGGTTATGACCGCACTGTTTACAAGACGTCTTCGGTTATTTATACTGTTATTATTAGCAGAGGGGCTTTAAATTTCCGCTTCACTTGCTCTCTCAATACCGTCCCTCGGTTCCGTTTGATACGTGGGTCCCTTTCGGCCGAAAGCGGGAGAGGGACAGTGCAATGCCGGGGGGAGGCAGGGGTTGAAGTGGGCTCGGACCCTCCCGGGAGCTGCCGCCCCCCGGGACCCCGCCGGGGGGAGAGGGCTCGGTTATATTTTTCCTCCCATCCGCTTTACCCCCTGAGATAACCGGGTGAGGCAGAGCGTCCTGCAGGCAGTCGGAATTCACCATCCGGGTTCACGCATGGGCTAGGCTTAATTAAAGCAGCTCTCCGTGAGGAGAGGGATGTGCAAGCACTTCAGCCCTCGTTACAGAAAGGGCCAGGGCCTGCTGTATCGTCCTAACGGTTTTGAGCGAGAGAGACGTTTAATTTCACTGTTTTGCAGCCTTATCTCACCCCGCATAACTAAAAGCAGACCTCCTCACCTGGGCTGGCCACGGGCACCTCCACTGCCGTAAGCGGGGTGTGCCAGCTGAGACATGCAGTTTGGCTGACTTTACTGCCGAAACCATCACCCTGAACAGCCACGGCTCTGGCTGAAGAGATGAGCAACTCTGGTAAGCACAGCTGAAAGGGCTGATTTCTTCACCACAGGCATTGGGAAATTCAGTGGGAATTGCTGTTCTCTTAAAATAGGGCCCTCTGACCTTAAGCTAGGTGCAAATGAAAGATTAATCACATGCACAAATACCGTTTAAACCACCGAAATTAAATTAACTGTTGGATTTAACCACTAAAAATCTTGACTTAAATCCATACTAACTAATGGCTGCTTGAGACTCACAGCAAGGTGCTGTTTCCTTTCTAGAAGCTGATGGGAATCTGAGATATGCATAAAATTCAGAGTTAAACTCTTAATATTCTCACAGGTGCTTCTTTTGCCACCCTGCTTTGCAATGCTTGCTAACTGCACTCAGTATCCTTCCCACCCTTTTGAGTTAGCCACAGTTAATGCTCATTTGCCACTTGAAACCCAGCACAGAGAAAGAGAAGGAAGAAATGCAATAGTCCCCCATGAAATGTGAGGAACACAGCTGCAACCAGGTGCCAAAAGCTGCCATGTAAGCGGAACTATAAGCGGAGGCTGCTGTAGACACCATTATTCCTTGTGCCACTCTTCACTTTATCTAGCGGTCTAGCTTGCAAGCTTCTTGGGGACTAAACTATTCCTCAAGCATCCTCCACTTTCCTCAGTCCTTGCTTCTGAGCAATGGTTCAGCAACAAATAAAAAGGCAGAAAGCAACAAGCAATAAACAAAAGCAACCAGCAGTGCACAGAAAGGTAAATGTAATGGCTTTAGTCTGATGATAAAACAATCAGTGGCTTTATCTCCATTTTGAAAACAACCAATGTATTTTCCAGAGGTGTTTGTGTAGCTGGGAACTCTTGGTCCACTGACTTCTTGTGTACGGGCGCAGCACTGATGGTATCGGCAGTTGGCTTCAATGGCCAAGTTTCTTAGATGAATCGAGAGCTCTGCCACGTATCTCAGGAGAACAATGAGTGAAATGATTCGTTCCTGCAGCTAAGTGCAATTTTAGAGAAAAATATTTGCAAACAGAAAATGTGTGTTTAGTCTGCCTGAAGCAAATGATGATTTTGAAAGGAAATGTGCTAAGGGAAAACAGTTTAAATATCAATTATTTTAAAGAAAATATGTTGTTTTCTTGCTTTTCTGTACAAAGTGATGCATTTCAGTATTTACCAAAATACATCTCTATCCCCTCTTCATGTGGAAACAAAACTGATTTATCTTTCTGTATCTACGTGGATGTAGATGCAGCTGCATGAGTGTCTATACACATTCCCTCCTAATAATGTTTGAACTCATTGCCTGATTTCAACTGAATTTGACAAAGGTCTCAAAGATAACTAAATCGACCTTTTTTTTGTTTTTGTGTGTGAACTGAGTAGAGAAAATAAAAACCAAAATCTTTATAAATTCTGCAACTAGAGGGAAGGTTTCAACATGAACTCAGCCTTTATCAGACACCAGAGCATACAGAGCAGGGTGCCAGCTGTAGATGAAGCTTCAAACACTGCTTCAGTGCCAGTTCACTAGTTCATAGAAAACCTGCTTATAGACCTGTGTTTTTAAGATAAAAATGCTGTAAAAATAGTTCTGTCCCATCTGATTTTAATACTTTTTTTTATTTTTTTGGAAGGAAACCCAGTTCTACCCAGCTACTTTGCAACCATTTTTCAGGTCAGCTAAAGACAGGAAAAACACTTTATTTGCAGAGCTACCCTCACTGGTTGGGCTCCTGGGTTTGGTGCTTCTCTTGTACTGCTTAGAAGTTTTCACAGTCCATAAGGTCTTTAGGAGCAAGCATTTTTCCATCTCTTACAGAAGATTTTAGGCTTATCTTATCCTCTCACTGGGATGGAAGCCTGCCAGCCTGAAGTATCAGCAGAGCAAGAATGTCACTTCGCAGACACCTGCACAATGCCTTCCTGTCCCGGGCGCTGCCTGAGGCAGTGAGGCCACACGGAAGGTCAAGCTCCCAAGCTGCAAGGTGCACAAGAACATACGCTAACAGCTTATTCTTTAAGTGCCTCCAACATCAAAATTCCCAGCTCATGTCAAAAATTAAGAGACAGAAAATCTGTGTGGTTCCCTCTGCAGGGAAGCTGGTTTGAATTCTGGGTATAATTACCAGATCACAAGCACAGGTGTGTTTGAAGCATTTGTATAGGTAACCCCACAGTCATGTCTGCCCAGAAAAACATGCTTCTCTGGAAAATGAACCATATATGTTTTTCAAAAGGTAATCTTTCCTGAAACCCCATTGTCATTGCCATTATTATATGTAGTAAAAATAAAATAAAATTAAAAAAAAAAAACCACACACCCCCCCAAAAAAAAGCAAAAGACCTTAGCTTATTGCAGGAAATAAGATGTCTGAAAGTGAAAAAACCCTCAGATACATCAGGTGGACAAGTGGAGGGTACAATCTAATAAAACTGCATGACATTTCTAATTTCTCTCTGGATATCTGAATGTAGATTTTCCCACATGGGCTCCCTAAAAGGACAGTTTTTCAAAAGAAATTTCAATGACATTGGCATGAAATTCAGTTTCAATGAAACTGAAATTTGTGGTAGCAAACAAAAAGAGCATTTTGTAATTTCCATGTATGTACACACCTAGAAAAACCTCCATAAAGAGACTCTCCCAACAGGCAGCAATTCAAATCGTCCATGTTCACTGCTGGTCCGTGTTGCACTGACTATTCCCGTATTAAGGCTGTGGTGCCAAATGCAGGCCCACAGGGTAAATATTACTTTGTGCTCACTATTTTGCTGCACACTGCTTCGTGCTCCTTAGCCCAGAGTGCTTTATGGATGGGAAGTGGCACAACCAGTAATAACGGTGTTTTTTTGTCCTTAGTGCAGTAAAGCTACAGGTGTGCTACAGCTTGGTGAATTTCTGCAACCTTGAGGCAGCAAGGCCACAGGGAAGGTCATGCTCCCGAGCTGCAAGGTGCACAAGAACATACGCTAATAGCTTATTCTTTAAGTGCCTCCAACATCAGAATTCCCAGCTCATGTCAAAAACTAAGAGGCAGAAAATCTGTGCGGTTCCCTCTGCAGGGAAGCTGGTTTGAATTGTCATAGGTCTGACCTAAAACTTATGCTCCAGGGTGGATGGGGAAAAAAAGTGTTACATTTGGGAGAACTGCTGCTGGCAGATTCCAAACCCAGCAAAGTTCTTCAAGTAACTGATTTTTCTTCAGTTCACTTCAGATGCTGGTGTATCTGAGCTCACTGTATAAAAACAACTTTGAGTAGGCCTAGGCATGCAGTCACTGCATTTCCCAGACACGGCATGGACATACATACCCTAGGATCACAACAGTTCTGAGATGATGCATTTTCTTGTCTTAGGGTTTTGCCCTTAACCAAAACTTGTAAACAGATGAGATGTGTTTTCAAGCCAGTGCGCACACATGCACACAGCTACACCATCCTTGCATGGGGATTGGAAAGATCAAAACCTTCTTGTAAGGCAAAAAATAAAAGATCATAACAAAAGTGGAAGAATAAAAACCGATGCAAATCCTTTCTTCACTTTAAATTCTTAGAGCCTGTTTTCCTTGAGCAAAAAAAAAAAACCCAACCCTTATTTACTTCTCAGGCTGCTGTGTAAACTAGAAGACCATATCCAATTGTAAATATGGATTATCTATACACACGAGTCTTCTCTCTTGTTTACATGCTCTTTAAGAAATGGGGATCAGACACACTAGGGAAAAAAGGGAAGGGTACAGCTACACAGCCTGGAGACAAGGGGGAAAAAGGCATAGAATAACTCCTCTTCCTCTGACTACTAATGCTTAGTGGTTGTGAAGGGACAGGCTGGGGAAGGGAACAACTATCAGCAGCTCCATCAGAGCTGGGTAGAGCCAGACCACGGCAGAGTTGGAAACTGGGAGGCTGAGAGCTGCAGCTGCCACCTCTGGGAGGAACATCTGCAAAATCCTGCACAGCAGCA